CCAAGATTAATGCTCATTCCCATTAAATATATTCTGTTCATGTTAGTTTAACACCCTGTGAATTCCTGATCTTCAACATTTGTTTTTCATCTTGCATCCTAGAGGAGATAGCTCTATTTCTCTCTCTCTCTCACTCCCATGTGAGTGATAGTGAAATTACTAGAATGTAAAAATGTTTGGCAATAAGCTTTCACTTGCCACTAATTTTTCTTTTTCTTCTTTTTTAATAGTACAAAAGAATGCAAGTAATGTTTCAATAAATGCTCAAAGAGGATAAGCAGCAAATGAAGTGGTTAACTGTCTTTATAATGATTATTCTTGTCCCCTATTTTTAGTCACCTCAATTTTGGCTAAATAAGTACAAGTGAAACACAGTGTAGTAATCTGGAGTAACTTCAGTGTCTTGAGTTTTATTTTTGAAAATAAAACAGATGGGGAAAACCCCAATTATATTCTTTTGGAGTGGCACTTGGTTTAGGGTATTGGCTATCTCAGTGTCAGATGGGTAGACTCCTGCACTTGACCTGCGTTTCTCCATCCTCAGGGTGTTCAGCAGGAGTGACACAGTACTTCACTTCACATCCACTTCACCTGCCTGGTAATGGAACCCTGCCTGGATCCAAGATGGCACCAGCGTGACCACCACTGACTTCCGATATGCCCGTCTTTCAGTCAAGTGTTTGATGCACTGGTAAAGTTCTCTTTCAGGGTTTTATCCTAGATCTGTTCTGTATCCTGGCAAGCAAATCTATGTTGATTGTTATGCACCCGACACACATTTTTACAAATTACAACTTAGCTGCAACAGCGACAAAAAAGCATTCCTGACAGTGGTAATGATAATTTTTTTGCCCTTGACCTTCTTTCAAAAATAACGCCTGTAAGCTTTAAATATAGGTGTGCAACCAGGAAACTGCAGACATCCTACAACAGTCAGACCAAACAGAAAAAGAGATCTAAGGGGAGAAACTTATCAGATTCACAAAACAAAGTAGTATTTTATTCTGAAAAGTCTGATTCTTTAAATCTCACAGAATATTTCTTGACATGTACAACACGTTCAAGTTTATTTATTGTTGTGATGTACATGCTGTTCTATTTAACTCAAAGCCACGGTGTCAAACTTCTTTAGTTCATAGACCACATACAGACAAATTTTCATCTTAAGACCAGTAAAATCATTTCATACACACTTAGAAAAAAATTCTAAGAATAAAGAAGTACATTCTGAAATTGTTCATCAGAGCTGTAGCCAAGATTTTTAAAAAGCTGAAACCATAAACCTAAGAAAGACATTCCCCATCCAAATCCCTTAAAAAATGTGCCAGACAACAGAAGGCATTATTTTTTATTAATTTTGTTGTCATGTAATGAGTGATCCATTTATAGAACAGATGAAAAACAGCCTGAGATGCATGAGGAAAAATTAGAAATTCCAAAACTATATCTCAATATTATGATTCAAAGATTCTGTTAAAAAACATATAAAAACATGTAACTTTCCTAATACTTTCACTCCAGGCTAGAATAATTCCAAAAAACAAAAAGATTTTACTCTAGTTCTGTCACTGTATTGTTGTATTTATTGGCAGTTTTGGTCCTCGGGGCTGTATGTTTGACATCCCTGCCCTTAACTACTTTGGCATTGAAAATAATAGTTAAATTAAGATTTTGTTATGATAAATAACACTTGCTGGATGTCACATACTTAATATTTTTAGAGTTTATTCGGGCTCTGAGAAGAATTCATGGTAAATTGCGAAAGCGTGTTCATGCGAATAACAAATAAGTACCCATATGTCCAATACAAAACCTTGTTTTGAGTATTGACACCAGTGTCATCAGTTTAAGGCCTAAAAAGAGAAACATAAGCACATCGATATTCTCCGAAATGCTGGTGTTTGGTTATTTCACATAACTAACATTTTCTATGTATTGTTTAAACTGAAGAAAAGAAATGCACAGATCAGAAGTAACCTGTTATTAGTATACATTATCACAGTGGCTTTTTGAAGTCATGCCATATTTTTTTCTATTGAAAGAATAAAGTGCATTTGCAACTTTTAATGTTTTAATATCGGTGTTAACTGCTAGTAACTGTACTGGCCAACCTTGGTACTGGTATTACATAATATTAAATGTAAAGCAAACGTTATGCTTTAGCTGTAAAACTGCACGATTAAAACTTTCCATGACATTCAGGTTTGGGATCTGGACTTCCCTCTTAATTTAAAATGGTTTGAGGAAGCGGGGTTCAGTGGGATTTCTTCTTTTTTTTTTTTTTGTAGGATTTTTTTTTCTGCCCGCTGACCTGGACTTTACTTCCAGGTCAGTGCCTTCTGCAGGTCTCAACAAAGTATCCCTTTACAGGAGAGGGAAGAGCTGGCGCTTCAGCAAGTCCCCCTGGAGGCTCTTCAAAACACCGTTACCATGGACACAAACTTGACCGGGAGAAGAGTGAGTGGTGTGTTTGTGTGTCTCACACTGTATGCGATTGCGAAAAAAACGAGAAGGAGAGGGGGTGAAGACGTGCGCGAGAGGGCGGGGGTGTGCAGGTGCAGTTTGCATGTGTTTCAGTGTAAATACAAAATAGTGACACCAAGTTGTCATGAAGTTTGGTGGCTAGTTTCGGCTTAAAAACGCAAAAGTCCAAACTTAAACAAAGCGAGATGAGCGCACGACAATGTTGTCATTGACTTCGCCCGCGCTTACCGCCTGCAGCCGTGCGTGATTGACTGCCAGCAATCTGATCCAGTGAAAGACATTGACAACCAATAGGAAACGGAGTGCGGCTTGTTTCCATGGGAGGCCCCGGGAGGCGATGCCAAGCCGCTAGAAAGCAACACAGTGAGCGGGGAGAGGCGCAGGCAGCAGCCGGGACTGTGGAGATCCTGCAGCCGCTCTGTAGCGCTCAGCAAATGAAAGCGGCGCGAAGTTGGTAGGTAAGTACCTGCAGTTTTACACACTTCCTCTCATTTCTAAGTTTATTACAGAGCGAAAAACATTTTGGTGCGCCCTCTAGCTCAGCGCGCTGCTCGTTTACGCACCAACTTAACTGTACCGCATGATCGCCGGAGGTGCCGTCGGTCATTCCGGGCTCAGAATAATATCAGAGGGATCATACACTGAATAAAACAGAGATTTAAACCCGAAGTTCTTCTCCTCCTTATTCCTGCTTCCTATTTATCTGCCTGTTTGAAGGGTGGCCGGACAGGAGACTGGAGACTTTGCAGATTGCTCGCCCGTTAAAGCCACAACAGTGCAGAATGGATGGATTTCACGATCAGCAAGTGCCTTACTATAACTCCAGAGTGAGTGATCACTGCCTCAAAAGAAGAAAAGTTGAAATGAAATCAGTTTCACTCATCCTTCTCTTCTTCCAGCTCCCACCCCATTAAGGAAAATACTTCATCTTGATTTTTTTTCTGCCTTTTGTACTGTGGATGGCTGTTCTCTCTACTGCATTCTATTTGTTCTGATCTCACCTCTGTCTTTCTCTCTGCTGCTGCCAACACTCATTTCTCCCTTAGGGACCATTTAAGTTTCATCTAATCATCAAAGATAAACAGCCAAACAAGGTGCCCATTACTTTACCCTGTGTTATTGGTTATGCACCATGTAACAACTTGTTAATTATGCCTGATAAGTGAAGCACAGACCCCTTTGCATGGGTCAAGCTTTAGAAGTGTGTGAGGCATTAATCAGAGGCTCATTGAGGCTCTTTCATTTGCTATTTCAGTTGCACATGTGATGCAGCCAACAACAGAATTACTGCTCCAGCAAGAAGAAGAAAAATTGATGAGTGTGTGTGTGTTTTTTTCTTTCCCAAAAGCTGCAAGAAAAGACAACGAGCTGCGAGAGGCCAGCAAATGACAGAAAGAGAAAATTCATTAAGTCCGACCTGGCTCTGGACACTGAAGGTAGGACAGAGGGAGAAGTTAATTTCACGGCTTCTAAACATTTAGCAAAATTCAATTGGTTTGTGGCCACCTGTGCTGCTAACTACAGAATCTCAATTACAGCACAGCGGCCTGTGATGATTCTCACAAGCCTCTTTTCAGTGGTCAGAAACACAAATTGACTTGTTATTAGCTGCACACATGCCCAGTGAGCTCCAATGGCAAATCAGCCAGTAATAGTGAATGCACTTGTTTCTGATACTTCTCTTGAGCTTTGACTGTTTTTCAACTGCCTTCAAACCTTGATCTCTGCCTCGGTTTCCCTTTCAGAGCTCTTCCAGGACCTCAGTCAGCTGCAGGAGACTTGGCTAGCAGAAGGTGAGTGTTTTAAATCTTGAGCAAAAAAAGGAGGAGAGATGGGTAAAAATGAATAGGTTGTGAGTGTTGGGGGGGGGGGGGAGGCTGCTGCCTGGAGTTACATGCCTAGCGTCGCAGTCCAATTAAAAGCCTGTGTGGAAGAGGCACCTTGTGTGTCATGCATACATTAGAGACTGTGAGCGAGGGGTCTTGAGGGAGACCGAGGAGGCTCTACCCAGAGAGTGTCATCACAAATTACCAGGAGAAGGCTCTCCGACGCTCACTGTCTCTTCTGCTTTTGGCAGGAGCTAACGCGCTGCACGCCAGCCGCCACTACCTCCACCTCCACCAGAGCTCTGCTGTAGCCTACCAGCTCTCTTACTCTCACTCACTCTGTCATCTCCTCTCTCTCCCCTTTCTCTCTCTCTCTCTTTCCCTCTCTCTCTTTGCTTCCTCTCAGCACACCTCTCTATCTTGTACAGCTGTACCTTCACCTTGTCTTCTTCAATTTCATTTCTTGGTGGCAAAAAAAGAGAGAATGGATCTATGAGAAAAAAATTTTCTCCGCAAACTTCCAAAACAGCAGCCAGCTCTCAGACAACTGATTTTTTATTTTTTTTTAATATTACAATTTTCTTGCTTTTTAAATTTTTTTTCTCTAATGGCAAGACTTGCTCATTGTGGTCTAACTGAGACGTGATGCTTCAGGATTTAAGTGCGAGCGTCCTCTTTCCTCCGTGTCTGCAGCACCGAAGTTTTGGTTAGTGGTGAATATTGTTCACTTTTGCTGTATTTCTTTGTGCATGCATGTTGGACTTTTTTGTCGACATCTCAGAAAGATGTAACGTACCTTAATATTGCATGTAATCTCAAAGTTTATATCCAAGTAAAAAAATAATTTTACAGTAAGAAGTATAATTTGAGATATATGTGAAGTGGTTGCTTTGCTTGCAAACAGATGGTGTAAAGTTGTACAGTGTGAGAGAACACAACTGTTTTATAAAGTTGGATTTTGAAGTAGTTTTTGCAAATATATATAAACCAGAACAATTAAAATAAATTCTAGTGTTTTGTCTGCAAAATATCCAAAGCACAGGGTTAAAATGAAGTTTGTAAGTCACTTGATTACAATTGCCCCTATTATTGTACTAGACTATTATTATACTAGACTAATTCTAGACTTTGCTTTACTATAGCTCGTTGGCTAATGTATAAAGTGCTATATGTGTTAGAAACTCACTGATTTATGTGCATTTTTCATATAGTTTTAAATTAAGGTTTGATAATGAAATATTAAAATTGAAAATTTCGTAGAATTGTATAAAACTGGAGTTGGAGTTATTATATTGTAATGCTAAAATGTTCTGCTTCATAATTTGGTTCATTTAAATACATTAACACCAAAAAGCATTTAGTCTAATGAGACGCTGATGTTAGTTTTACTGTACTGTCTTGTTTCATTTAAGTCAATTAAGTCATCTGCAGTTTGTGAATTTAGAATTTTTGTGTTCTGTTACCCGTTTGCAGCAATAAAAGGCTGCCTTCTTTTTTTCTAACAGTTAACACGTCGTAAAGCAATAATTCTAGTTGTCGTAGAATAACGTGTGCAATATAATTAAATAAACTTTAATACTTTTTTTAACCATAGGATAGAGTCGTAAAACATTTACTGGAAGAGTGTCGAGATGAATTTTTCGCTTGCTCCCTTTACGCAGCCAAAGAAGACTCAATCATTTATTCGCTCCATCTATTCTTTAACACATGTAAAAACGCTCGCAGTGCAATCCAAAGCTTTTAAAAAATGAGAAGTATTCTTTAAAACAGATATTGGAAGAGTTGAGCCGACTCGGAGCGGCAGCGAGGTGAGATGAGGCGTCGCGGCTCGCACCGCAGGGTGTGTAAAAGAATAAGACACGATTTTAATATTTCAGTATCCAAAGTGGGAAAAGAGACAGCGGCTGATAAGAGGTATTACTGTTAAAGATTACAGTTCTGCCTGTCATGGATCAATGTGATGATGTGCGCCTCAAGATTGTAGATTTAATGAATGACTTCCTGTCCATTAAGATGAAAAGGAATACCTTCCCATTTCTGAGATTTATTAGTTCAGGTAATTGGAACGAGAGGAGAAATTATGAGCGACAGACTGAATTTCCGACTCCCGAGACCCAAGATGTTGAAGGTTGATCATTGACATGCGAATCTGTGACCTCCCCCCCAAAAACTACATCTACCTTCTTTCTTCCATACAGTATTTTAAACTCGTTTTAGTTTCTTTTTTGTCAAAACAAAACAACAACAAAAAATGTATTGTACTTCTCAGATTTTTTGCTTTAAGATTGTTTTTCCCTTTTCCTTTGTTCACGCACTGGTGTCTCTGCAAAATTTTTGTGCTGATAGCGTCATTTGTCTTGGAAATCATCACAGGCAGAATGATAAATTTGTTTAAAACTCAGCCCTGCTTACTGCTGTTGCAGGTTTAGACAACCATTCAAATAGTCTCAGGCCTCGTGTTTACAACCTTCCTCTTCTTTACCCTCGCTCCTGTTTTCCTTCTGTCCCTCTCCCTCCTTTTTTTGGTTTTGTGAATGGCGGCAGATTTCCAACTCTGCCGTTCTCCCCAGGAGTTTGTTGCAGAGATCAGCTGGCTCATTCACAGACTGAGGCCAGTGACTCATCCATCCTGTACTTCCTTTTGGTCACAGAGAGACTGCCACCTTCTTTGTGTTTAATTTATTAATTTATTTTTATTGTTTCTCCTCTGTGTCCGCTGAAGTTTCGAGAGATGTTGTGGTGCTTCAGCTGATTAAGAACTTGGTTTTTTATTAGGAAAAATTTGATTTCTTTATAAGGTTTGAGTAAGTGTTTTCCTAACACTGTATCTGTTACATATTATTACATTTTCTTTAATTTATTACAAAAGTAGCCCTGTGTAAAATCTCCTGTTATGTCTTAATTGTTTCCCACCAACTTAATTCCAAAAGGCCAAAATAGAGAGCTGGTAGCTCTACTACACAAACATATCGAGTGAAGTTGCTTGTGCATATTTATTTTCTGGCGTCTGCACCCGCTTGACATTTTTAGAAAATAAGGAGCAATATCTCCTCTTCATCTGTTAATTGTTTACCCTCCTCAATTCTCACTTCTGGGAAGAGAAATAAACCCACGCTTGACCACATCAAGAGTGACAAAAAAGGAATATCAGTCATTTAAAAAAAAAAATAGGATCTCCAGACATGTCAAGGCATGCTGCACATACTGTGATAATGAGGATCCAGCTCATTTTGTTTATAAATAGATGTGCTAATGACACATTTAAATCTCTTTTTGCCTATCACCAGAGAGACTGAAACTTAAGGGACATGAAGAACTGTCACTGAGTGTAAATATGTGTTATATAAATATGTACATGCCTAATTGGAGCCCGAGTGGAGCAGGGCTTCATTATTTTAGCATTAGCCTGAGTGCAGGGGTGTTTGAAGCGCAGGTGAAGCTTTGGAGGGTTTGGAACAGACCTAACTCGGTAGGTACAGGTGGATTCACCAGTAGGGAAGAAGCCAATTAGATACTGTTAACAATGGGTGTTTGGCTGCTGGCAAGGAGCGAGAGCCGAGGCTGCAGAGCAGTCAATGGACAAGTCGACCTCAGGAAGTGAAAGTAGACGGTCAAAATATTATCTGTCAGGTACGAGTTTGTTGGAAAATATGACTCAACTGCTTTAGTAAATATCAGGGAATGTGTTAGTCACAGCAGTTCAAGGTTATTTAGTCTTTTGATTGCATCAGAATTGTCGTCTTGGGGACTTTTTGTCCCTTTTCAAGCCGTGAAAGTCAGATTTTATTTTCAGAAAGAAAAAAAAAATTAAATTAAGCTCTTTTTCTACAACAAATCAAAAGTGTTTTTGCTGTTTTCTTTTCTCTCTCTTTTTTAAGGGAATGATATAGATATAAAATTGAAAAGAAGTGCATAGAAAATGGACATTTGAACAACTGGGCTATATTTGGATAACAATGCGTAAAACGACTGAAAGTTTAAGAATGGATAAAAAAAATCTTTATTAAGATGTGTTTTTTTTAATTCATTAATTGATTTTAATTTGCATGATTATTTCTCTGACTCTGAAGATTTACAGCATATTGAAATCTTCTGCACATTTAAAATGATAAACACATTAAAAACACTTTTTTAGGCTTCTTTTCTTTTTTTTTTAACTGACAACAGAAGCAGGCAGTGCTGGGATTGGCCAAACTAACATCCCAGAGGACTGTTTGCCAGAGGACAAAGCTGTGATCAGTGCTGCGGTGTCCATCAACATCAGAAACAATCAATCCCTTTCTTCTTCTCTGCTCGTGTCTTTAGCTCAAGTTCCCGACAATGATGAGCAGTTCGTTCCAGATTTCCAGACTGAAAACTGTGAGTAAGAAACCATGTCGCTTTTCTCTGTGTCTCTTTGTCTGTGCATGTGTTATGTTTATGTGTGTGTGTGAACATCTGTGGCGTTTTTCTTTTTTTTTCACTCATCTTCACTGGTGTGTTTGTACTGGCGTAAAAAGCAAGTGACTGTGTGTGTTTTTCCATGTCTCTCAGTGCCCTCACCTTTGCTTGCACAAGTGCTCTCAGGAGAGCTGCAGCAATCTTGCAGGTCTACAGGTGCATGGTTTGGGTTGGGGGGTTATCTGTGTGTGTGTGTGTGTGTCTCTGTTTTCCCTTGTTGTTCTTGGGACCGCTACTGAGATATTATTGCACTGTGACTTATTTGCATAAGAAAACATCAAAATATTGTGGCTAACTTTTTTTTAGGTAGTTGAAGTGGTATTTTTAACTCCAGGTAGTCCAAACTGCTGTCAGTTGATGTCTGTTTTGAATTTTCTTTTTTAATAAAATCTTAAAAATATGCTCCTCCTTGACCTTTCCCCAAACTCCTTTTTTGTGCAAACCATGGAGTGTGGTTATATTTTCTAAATCAGGCGGTGTAATATTAAGTACTCCTGCATTTATCCTTCTTTACTTGGAGGTTGGCTGGCCTTCTTTTACACTCCCTATCCTTCACTGGAGATTTTAAAGCATGAAAGCAAGTATGATCTGTTTTTTTGTGCTTTTTTCCTCCTTGCTCTACATATTTTATCCAACAAAAGGACAAATTCTGTTTCTAAGAATACTTCCTAAAAGTTTTAAAACATTTTCCAATGTCTGACAAGAGTTCATTTTTCACTCACAGTGATGAGGATAAGCTAGTTGGTCGTACTTCACCTGGCTGTATACGGTGGTTGCACACGGTGACTGGTTACTTGGCACGGCCCATTTCTGGAGGAAGTAGTGCCAAGGTGGGGACAGAAATTGAGTGAGTGGAACTCAGTGGGACCCAGATAGAGCACATGTCTTTCATTTGAGCCAAAATGCACATTAAACTGTGAGAAAAAATACAAAACCTCCCGGTGTCCTCAACACCCTTTAACCTGCAAATGAAAGTTGAACAAAAGGCAGAAGTTAGAGTTTTGAACAAGAACAAAGAGAGAAGGTCACATCTGACATTTAGTTTGGCAACTTTAATTGCATTTCAAGATTTAGTGGTCACAGATAACAGTTTGGTAAAATGAAACTGTAAGAGATTTGGCATCAAGCGAGATCACAGGCCTTTTAACTCCATGTGATTCAGATCACAGCCTGAGATTATCGAGAAGGTTCCCGTTGGTGGGCTAGATTAGAAACCCGAGAATGGTTTTTCTTTTTTCTCACTTTATTTTGCCACGAGTACTCCTGCTCTCTGGAAATGTCAAATCTGAGGGGATTTGCCTGGCTACAGGCACTTGACTTTAGATGTCCTAATCTGATTTGGCTTTTAATTTAACTTATGATTTAAGTTGCTCCAAAAGTGAATAAATGCGCCTTAAATCTAAACACATAAAACTGCATTAAACTAGTTATAATAGTCTAAAAAA